CACCTTCGTCCAGGTGGATGTCGGCCTTGGCACCACTCGCTTTGGCAATCACCGATTTGCTGCCGGGTAACAATTGCTTGAGCCAAGCGGTGCCGGTGATATGATCTGCATGCATGTGGGTGTTCACTACGAAGCGATTGGATTGGAAGATAATGCAAGGTAAATAGTAAATATGTACGTGTAAGCAAGGATATGTGTTTATGATGTCTTCGTTGCGTGGTTGCGGCCTGGCGTTTTGTTTTGGTCAATTTGTTGCTTGTTGATGTTTGTACAGTACTTAAGTAATTGGCAGTGTTTCTTAAACTTTTCGTGTCATTCATTTTTTATTTAATTAAGATGAACCTCAAACTGACTTCTTAACAAAATAAGTAATTAATTGAGCTTAAGGAAATTTATGTATGAATAATTTTAAAAAGTTTTCAAAAATGTTGTACAATAAAATTGTTTCACCCAGAGTGTAACAAGGGGTTAGGGACCTACCCTACTTAAAGGCAGCAAATACTTCCGTTCGCTTTTATTGAATTAGAGTGATTTAACTTCATTAAAATTCTCTACGAATTTCAACTGAGACTCCTTATTGTATTTACGTACTTTTTACATAAAGCTGATGGTTTGCAATTCATCGTTTGAATTCTTTTTGGCCTAGCGAGTGTCTCCCTGAATAACTATTACGTACTTCAATTAAGAAATAATAAAAAAAGTAAATAACGCTGCGTAAGTATGTATGTATGTATGTACATACAGTGACAAGCAAAAGTATTGGCACACAGAATTTTTCCGCAATGTATGAAAAATTTTTAAGTCAAATTTTTTTCGATTTTTTTTTTTTAATAAAAATATAATTCAACCTGATACAAAAAATTTAAAGATAAAACCTGGACATATTTGAAGTTTGCTAACATAGAAAAGAATTTTTCAAATTTTCAAACTCGTACACTCAACTCAAGCGAAATAAATATTTAATATTTTCATCTATTTATGTTTTGTTTTATTTTTATTTGGCCTTTGAGTTGCTATGAAACTTTAAATTTTATAAGGTAGAAAAACTTCAAAAAAATTATGATGGCCGACGAATTGAAGGAACGCTTTGACCTTTAAATATGGTTTATATTACAAAAAAAAAACCTAAAAATAAAATCTCAAAAGTTTGTGGAAAACTCAAGAAAATTTAAAAAATTTGCAATATTATAATCGGACGTTTTAAAAAAATTCTAAGTATATAGTTTTATATTTATTGACCATTCAATTTTTTATATAACAAAGTGCAAGTTTAAGTTGCTAAAAAATCGCATTGATTTTCAGCATTTTTTCGACGCAACGGAATAAAAAAGTTTGCACGCATTGCCAAAAATTTTCTGTGCCAACACTTTTGTTCGTCACTGTATGTAAAAATATACAAATGCAATAAAAGTATCGCAATTTCTTTCAGGTGAATTTGTAGCCATATACCTATATACATGTGTAAACACATAATTCTTTAAAAAAATATGACTCTCGTTTTCAGTGTGCTTTCGCCGGTTAGCTTAAAAGGTTTATTAAAACAAAAAACTACAATCTAGTTTAGACAATTTCAGAAAAATTAGCTGATACTACAAGACTACATTTAAACTTTAGAGAAATAAAATGAAATACTAGTTGTTTTTCTTTGATAAAATCAGTAATCAGAGACAAGATCTTTTGTTTGCACAATACATACATACATACCCTGCAGGAAATGTGTCTAACTATAAGCTAACTTTAAGTTGCTAAGCTAACTATATTTCTATGGCGATGGCCGCAAAATAGCTCTGCATTTGATGTAACTAATTTGTAACTAACTACTTTTGGACATAAAATATCAATAGGAAAAACGAAATATTTTAATTTTATTTTCTTATTTTATTTATTTTATTGCATTTCATATTTGTTTACATATTCTGCTGTAGGGGCTCCCGTATTCGAACTCCGTCAGACATAACTTCAAAACGATAGCATGAAATTTCGATCTTCCTTTTTTGTCCTCAATTCGAAAGAGTATTTGCGAAGTGCAGGATATTTAAATATAAACGCGGTTTAAAGAAAACAATCTCCTGCATTACTTGCCAACTAGTTCTAAGCTAGCTTTTCGTAACAAACTACAAGTTATATATTTTATAGAAATCCCGCTAAAAAGCTAACCACAAGTGGGTTATTTTTTATCAATTGATAATTTTTTCCTGCAGGGTATGTACTCATTTGACTTATCAATAATTACATCTGTCATGTTTTGTGGACGATTTCATCACAATGTTCGAAAATTACGAGTGCGTCACGTCTCACGTCTAATTCAATTATAGCAACAAAAACAGCACCAAAACAAAACACCTTTCGCATACCTACTACTCACTCCAAATACTCACTTGCATATTTAAGCGTAAAACCCAGCTCCTTAACAAGATTTGCATCACGTTTCGCCTTTTCCAACACTGGATCAATAATGACCGCTTCTTTTGTGTTCAAATCGGCGAGGAGATAACTGTAGGTCCAGGTGGCCTCGTCGAAGAGCTGGTGGGTGGGTGGGTGGTTATCAGAAAAATAATACCGATTAGTGGAATTTTTCCACAGTTACATATATTTATTTATTTGACACACCTGGCGGAAGAAGAAATCTTTTGTGAAGGGCGCTGGGGAAACCATTCTATTGGAGCCACTATGCTTCAGTCGATATTGTTGCAGTAGAAGAGATGCCCCGCCACCGTTTGTGTTTTGAACTTGTTGGACTAGTGTTTGGCGAAAAGCCGAGAATGCACTGAGCGTTGGTAGCCGCATGGTGTGAGTTTTTAATGTCAGTACTAATAAAAAGTTTAAAATTTTACTCAATGAGTTTATTTTTTAATCAGTTCATCACATTTGTTGAGTGAGTGCTCAGAGCGCCAAGAGTCAGCCAACGATGGAGATGATCGACGTATGAGTATAAAAATAAACAAAATCGCCAGTGGAGGCAGCGATATCTATACAAAAAAAAAAAAGGAATAAGTCCCCTTTCAGACAAGACGTCAAGTCTTGAAAGCAATTTTTTTCGCATTCTCTTTTGGTGTTTTCTATTTGCTTCCACACGCGTCAACTTTAATTGAATTCAAGTCATTGGTTCTTTAAATGGGAAGCAACTAAAAAAATCAAAAGAGACAAGAAAACTTGAAACGAATTGACGGTACGGAGGTATCTGTACTCTTCCCCTCTCTTCTCACCTCCTTCGCTACGAACGAGCAGACTTGAAAGCAAGACTTGACGGTGGCTGAAAGGGGACTAATGAATAAAAAAACAATCTAATAAAATAATTTGTTTTGACGAAGGCACTCGCTCTGTGTCATGGGCTCTCAGTAATTTTGTATTTATGTGTGCAGCACAGCGTTGCCGTTTGGGGGTAATTCCCCAAATTGGGGGGAAATAATAATAATTTGGGTAATGTTTGGGGAACTATATCTTGCGGGAAATCGGGGAATTTGCCTGTAATAATTTTCTATGAAAAATATCATAGAGTTTCCTTATTTAATTTTGATTCTTGTCGTGTACTGTTGTTCGTATTAATTTTTTTTTTTTATTTAATTGAAACTGGCAACAATAGTTGATTGTATTATTCTGTGTGTATTTAATATTTTATTTAACGCTTAATAAACAAAAGATGCAGGAATTGTAATAATAAAATATATTATATTTTTAAAGGGTAAATGAGCTTTGTGAGGGAAACTAGACTTAAAAAAATTTATTTCGTTTATGGGGAATTTGCGCGGTATTTGATTTGTGGGTAATTTGGATTTTTTTCTGGGTAATTAAGCGAATTGAAAACGGCAACGCTGGTGCATCGTGATGTGTGAATACGTAAAAGCTCCAACATTTCTTGCGTTTCCCCGTTTAATCTTTATCTTCTCATTTGAAGCTACTCTGTTTTTACAAATGTAGATATGTATATTCCTCCAGAAATATAAATATTCCCACATAGCGTAACATCCATACATTTGCACATATAGACTCAACTGTAAGCGCTTTAGGTAGGAGTGCGACTACGCGTTTCCAAGGACGTCTACTACATAGGTAGTCATATATTAGCGCTGCGTGAAACGAATTTTAAGTTTTTACATACTCTCAAACATATACATACATACATACATATACATATTGAATGTTAAATTCTCTACTTATAGCTACGCGCAGCAGGTTGTTGTTCTTATTTTCACTTTATGTTTTTTTTTTATTGACAACTGGTTTTAATTGTTTGTTGTCGATTAGTAAATATTTTCCTTTGGCATGCCGATAGTCGAGCGCAATTATTAGAAAAATGTTGGTGGACTTATAAAACACACATCCATATGTCAACAATCGATGACACACATTTGGTTTTGCCGATTTCTTCTTTACCTACTGATAACGAAGTATTCGAAAACGTTTGGGTGCACAAGTTAGGAACTAATACAATAACACTTTTACATAAGATTGCAGAGCAATATTTATTAACCTATTTACAAAAATTTCTAAAATATTTAACTTTGCACGAAGTATTACACAAAAAAAAAAACAACGAAAATTCACGCGTCAAAATTTATATTTGTACATTTCTGAACATTGTATGTATTTGCTTATAGCAAAACAGCTGTACTCTCGACCGGCGTAATACGAAATGACGACGACTAGCCCATAGCTGCCACCAGAAAACTCGTTCTCGGCTGTGACGCCAAGCAATACTCACTAACACTTACTTAGCTTTGTGGCATACAAAAGCTCCCATAAAAAGTTTACACACAGTTTAGTGCTCACAAAAGCGCTTTAGCAATTCGCATTTTTATAATATTTTTAAGCATTTATTCTTTCCCATTCAATTAAGGGGTGATCCATCCCTTCGCATTTTAATTTTAAATAAAACACTTAAAACACTACTGGATGTTTGAATCTTTTTTATTGCCCGAAATAACAATTTCTGATATATAATTTTTGAAAATACTGTCAGTCAATAAAGTTTAGGTACGGAGCAAGGCGAATTCATATAAGGTGGTATCGATTCAACAAATACAACAATTACTTGTATTTTGTTTTTGCTTTTAGCTGGTGATTGTCAAATTTCAGCTATTCTTCTCCGAATGAAAAAGGGCGACAGAAAATGCAAACACTCTCACGTTTTCACTCACTCACTAGCAAAATATAAAATTTTGACAATCAACCGCTACACACAGCTGATTAAACAACACCACCTTATATAAATTCGCCTTGGTACGGAGAATTTTTTACAATACGGGTTACATACATTATTTTATATGGAGCAAATGAGCGACACCTTCAAAAAAAAAAAAAAATGCTAAAATTCAATGGTAAGTCCTAGCCACCTCAAACTTGCACTTTGTTATACTAAAATTGAATGGGCTATAAAACTACATACTCAACTTTTCTCTAGAGAGCGTAAATAAGAAGTGCAATATTTGAGTGAAATTTTGCAGAATCTTCTTTAATTTTACACAAGGTGTGTAACTTTGATTTTTGGGTTTTTTGTTGTAGAATTAACCATATTTTTATAAAAAAATTAGCGAAATATAAAATATTAAAAAATAGTTGCCCGTTATTGACTGACTGTATGTAATTCCATTCAAATGCCGGCGCTGAAGACAGAAAATAACCGTCTACGGCGAGCGCTGCCGCATCATAATAGCGGCCTTTTTATTGCCCGATATTGAAGCCCCTGATGTCGGCAATATTTGGTTCCAGCAAGTTATCGTGTGATATCGCACCTGTGGATTTTTTTCATTGCGGTTATGTGAAGTCAAAAGTCTCCGTCGATAACCCAGCTACGATTCGAGACTTGGGTGCCAACATTCACGCCTTTCTGGAAAGAGTAATTGAAAATGGGATCTACAGCGTAGTCGCGGCCTGCTTGGCTATCAGAGTAGATATTTACCGAAGGCAGGTTAAGAGATGAGACGATAAGCCAAAGTGTTGTCTCTTGTATTGTTGGTGGTTTGGTGTTTGGAAAACATTGCATTCAATTATATGCAGAGTCAGTAAATAAAGTTTAGGTACAGCGAATTTTATTTTTCACAATACGGGCAACTATGTTTCAAATATTTTATTTTTCGCTAATAAAAATATGGTTAATTCTACAACAAAAACCTCAAAAATTAAGCCTTGTGCAAAATTAAATAAAATTCTTTATTGACTGACTGTATCTCGCTTCTTACTTTCAGATTCAATTGAATCATCCGTGTAAATTACTGTACGCTAAGGTAGTCCAAAATTACACAGGAAAATCAACTTTTTGGTATTTTTCTGATACCACCCCCAGAATAATAGCGAATGGAACAAAACAAACCCATAGTTTTTTTTTTTGAAAAACGGATGCTGATATGTATTTTTTTTGTGCCGAGTAGTGGAAACAGGAGTTTGTTAAGTGTCGAGATCTAAAACTATTTTCGTAGATTAGTACACTGCCTTTGTTAATGGTGCGAAGTTTCCATGCAATCTGTTTAGAGCACAGGAGTAAGTCAGAAGACAAAAGTATTTCAAGAGCTGAATTTTTTTCATACAACTTCCAAGTAACGCATTAAAACTGCTGAAGAGAAGTATGTCAGCGAGTTTTATGTGCAAACAAGCCAGAAGAAATCGAAATGGAGAACAAAAGATCAGCCGAAAACGAAAAAGCGCGCGAAAGCAGCTGGACAAAATAGGTTACATAACTACATACATTAATGTATGCATTTACTGATAGTTTAAATAAAGATTATAAAATAAGTAGGTGTATGACACTATGAGACGTTCGCCTGAGAAAATCCGACAATTCGTGTATTTTTCTTGACGATAATGTACATACATACATATGTAATTTCTGAACGAGCGACTATTGTGACGGAACTTCAAATAAAAAAGAAAAAGGTCGGAATAATTTGTTAGAACATGTGTCTTACCGAATCTAATGTGTTACAATCTTTTTAATGTAGTTTGACTCAAATTTCCCAAAAAGGTCCACGAACCGAAAGTTAAGTTCGGTTTATAGAGCTTTAGTAGGGTAGGCTTTCCACCTTTTGTATGCTTGAAACCGGGACACTCAATTTTAGGAAAAGAATAGGTATCAACTTCAATGCATCAATTTCAATGCTTTACTTTCAAAGTTTTTTATTTAGAACAACAAAACAATACAAAATTTCATAGATACATACACATTTTCTTAAAACGATACTTAAATGATAAAACTTGGAAATAACTTAAAAGATAAATTAAAATTGAAATAAAAATCATACCCAATTATAAATTTCTATATAGGTAAGCATGTACATATGTAAGTACAGTGACGCACTAAATTATTAGCACAGAGAATTTTTCACAATGTATGGAACATTTTTTACTTAAATTTTTTCGCGATTTTTTTTAAAATAAAATTGTAAGTCATTTCTGGACTTTGTGCGAAACTCAAGAAAATTCAATAAATTTGCATTGTAGTATAACTAAGTGCCAGTTTGAAATTGGTAAAAATGCGAGGCTTCTTTGGAGTAGCCATGGCTGGAATTCTTTGTTTAAAATCCCTTCGTCATTAAAATAGCAATCGCGTTGTTGATTTTTACAACGCTTTTTTTTGGGTAATTCACTCATTTTAACCGGCACACAATTACCTAATCATCTTTATACGATTATCAGCTGATTCAACGGCATTGCACAAATTGTCAGCAAAGAGCTGTATGCAAAGCGCATTGCGCAGCTTGTTCCCGCCCGTTGAACCTTGTTGAGTATAGAATTAGAGAGCGACTTATCCATTGATGTCTAACAAACTGTGACGTCATAGAATATGATTAAACAGCTGTATATAAGGACGGGGGAAAACTTATTTTGGCAAAACAATTTTACCAGATCAGATTCATTATAAAACATTTGATTGTAAAATTGATTTTTGTATAGATAAAAATATTTCACATCTTACGAACTTCTTTCCTTGTGCACAAGCGAGTGCAGCTGCACTAAAAATGCAAAATATATGTCCACTGTCACTATGCGTAAAAAAGAAACCATTTAACTGCAACTAGTTTGCATTGTGTGAAAATTTATAAAAAGGGAGCTCTATTGACTGCGCTCTGGACAGTGAACTTTTATTTTGGAGAAATGTAGTTATCTGACGAAATGTCCAATATTTATATATACGAAAGAAAGAAAGAAATATCCAGTTTTTAATTCTAATAGAGAATATACCCTTGTGTGTATGTATGTATGTATTCGCGTGCTGGACAAAACCGCCAAATGCTAATACACAACTAAGTAATTAGCATTTAATAAATTTGTGCGATACCATAAAAACACACAAGGTATACAAAAAGCTCTTAAACATTTTAGGTATCTATTTTACTCATGTATTTGCATTAGGATTGTTAATCCCGGGATCCGGTCTCCAAAATCCCGGGATTCTTAGCAAGTAATCCCGGGATTTTCGGGACTTGTAATTTGCATTGATGGCAATAATAGAAACTCCTTTTCTTGACCAGTATTGGCTATATTTCTTTTTTTCGTTTAATAATTAATATTTTTTTATAAATGTCTCATTATATATATAACACCGCGCGATAGTAAATTTTGAACACAAATATTAATATTTTCGTGAAACTCTCGGCCAAATATAGTAAAATTGCGTTTTTAGTTTTTCACTCTGACGTCAGTAATGCAAAAATGATTTAAAAAAATTCATAGAAATGTGCTTAGAGAAGAAGTATGGGTATAAAATTAATGAGCAAAACCTGTTGAATTTAAACACATTCAAGTTTCTGGTGCAGAAGAGCTGGTAAATATTGAAAATGTCACTTTAAAAGTTTATCCTTGAAATTTCGCAATATTTGTTTTTGAAAAAATTATGTGTTACGGGTTTATATAAACTCGATAACATCTTCGAATTTCGTTCTTCTAACTTTGTTAGCCTAAAAATTACCTATTCGTACTTGTGAATCCAAAAAATTTAAAATTTTAAATTCTAAAGAAATTTCCTATTGCGTTTTGTACCCATATTTTAATTCAACATTGCATTGAATTTTTTTTTAACAATTTTTTGAATTAAACATATCTCTGAAATTACAAATTCCTTCAAAATAAATCGTGCGGTCAGAGAAAAAAAAAATAAAAACGCCTCTTTAAATAAAAAAGTAGGTTTCAAACCCATTTATTTATTATTTATTTCATGGTAGGAGGGGATCTCAAACAATATAGAAGAATTTTTTCAATTCAAGTTGTTGAAATGATAATGAATATCTAAATCCCGGGATCCCGGCATTGTGACAACGCCATCCCGGAAATCCCGGTATCGGAAAAAGCCGAAAAATTAACATCCCTAATATGAATATAGTACATATAACATATATACACGCGTATTATCAGTGCGATAATAAAGAGCCGTCCAAAAATTTAAACTGCTTACTTACTTATTAAGAACAAACCCAAGCTTTTTCCGAATAGTTTTGCGTTGGACGCCGATGCGGTAGAAGTGCTTGTGCTAGTTAGGAAATTTTTTAATACAATTTGTGCACAAGAGCATACACATTCTGGTTGAGCGAAACGTAAAATGACAGCAACAGATGCGAATTTAGCCAGCACAACAGATTCGCAGGCGTTGAAGAGTGCGCCAGAAGTTGCAAGTGGGGCAGTTGCAGCTAATGTGGCGGGCGCCCCCGTTGCT